GTTCGGGGTCCGATCCACGGCCGACTCACTTCTTTACCTCGCTAAGACAGTAATAAGACTGGTAAATAGGGATGGCTGGGCATGAGGCTAGCAGTCCGATCCCGTAAAAATACGCCTTTCGCTTGAAGCCCTATTTTCCACTGGGAACGTACAGGAATAAAATTTGAAAAATAAAAGTAAAAATGGGAAACCCCATTTAATTGAAACAAATGTTTTAGTCACTATATGTACACAATGTCTGTTGTCCGAAAATATATTGCCAACTCATACTGAGTAAAAAGCTGTATTGAATCCACTATTTAATTTGAAGTCAATTTTCATTTTTCTGTTGACTGATTAGTTGGAAATAATTCGCCTTCATTAACATATTGGTTGCTAGCATTAAAACTTTGACTATTTTAGAGGTTGACGGTATAGACCATCGCGAACAGTACTGAGTATATTAACGCAAGATCTTATACCAACAACTTCTAACTTGCTTGATTCTCGTGTACCAAAGGCAAAGTAAAAGACCAAAATCGATTGTCCAAATTACGAGATATATTTCGGAACCAAATTGCGGATTGAAGCGGAAGCTAAGCTAGCTAGTTATCGTGCACGACAGTGACACGACGGAGTACCAAATGGCGGGGATGCTTGACGGGAAGCCTTCAGCTAAACAAGTCGACTTAAACTCTAATGGTCAGCATCCAATGTTCACTGATGATTCTTATGGTCACGATGTAATTCTTCTCTTAGATATTATCTATTCCTATGGTCGATAATTTTCGGGAATTATTTACCGCTACATTATATACAAGGATTAACCTGATTTAATTCAGCAGAAGGTCAATGTAAGTTGAATTCAGGTTTGCGCATTTCATCCTATTTGAGACCCATTATCCTGGTGAACCTTCACATCGGAAAACTCTCTTCATCTTCTAAACTTCTACCAAAAATTCAATGGGTGGAAGCACGACTCAAAGCAAAGATCCAGATCTCTGTTCCACAGAGAGATTCAGGGGCATGCAGATGATGAGTCCCAAAATGGACGAAATTCACATCCTGGATTCCCCTGCTAGGCACTATCCATCAAATTGCTTTATGTATTGATGAACGCCTTTTTATGAACAGGTTTCCATGATTGAGTATAATGGCACTGTCGTGGTATTCTTTTGTTATGACATGAATACGATATGAAGAAGAAGGTTTACCCTACCCCATTATTTATTTATTTGTTTTCGTAATCATAAAAATGTGGATTATAGAAGTGGTTTAGTCACTAGCGAAATTTGCTGCCTACTATTTTTTTCTATGACTAGATTGTATTTGATTACATCCACCATATTACTATTTCCCATCTTAATTCTGCCTTTACTGGTTATCATGTTTTTGATAACGTTTATGGATTTGATACTCCAGCGCATGAGGAAGAAGTTAATGAAACCAACTATTATTTTCCACTGTATCTTTTTTTCAGTAATAGTCAGTATTAGATGGTCGGAGGCGATCATCAGGATGCCTCAGATCTAGGTTTCATGCTAGTTAGCACTCATCAGCAAGGTATATCTGTCACCTTGAAGAAATTTATGTCCCTTTTGAGATTCGAACCCACAGTACCCAATGCTGCTGTCAGAGACTTTGACACTGAGCTATTCGGCCTCATGAGTGATTCTGTTGGATATTTTAGATTGGACATTAGTCAGTAATTAGTGTTATCTGTCCAGTCCTATATTTGGTGCGGACTGAATTCTATCAGTCAGGTTTGCAATATGGTCACTATTCTAGGTCGCTCGTCATCGTGGTGTACTGTGATTTTCTAGTACTAGGTGGTTGGAGGCAAAGGGCCAGTTTAAACTACCCGACTATTTTTGGTATTTATCACTTCAATTCGATATGCAATGAGTTCATTCTCAAACAGAGAAAACACCCCTAACGAGTGATTAACTAATCAACCATTCTTTATATAAAAAATTATGATCTTTCTGTTAATGAGTTTTGAAATCCAAAGTACTTTCAATTCATTTTTTAATTCTAACGACCAACTGGCTTGTTTCATTTCCCCTAGGTGAACAATCAAAATGAAACGCGCAGAAAACTGGTTATATAATAGTGATGATAAGATAAAAAGAAAACTATAACGATAGCATCAACCTAGTTAGTAGCTGGATGTAGTAATTATTTGTAATCGTAGTATTAGTATTTCGAGATGACCGAATTACACGAATCCAACCAAAACTCAGAGAAGGCGGAATTCAGGAATTTGTAGTTAGCGGAAACATATTAACCATCAACAGTAAGTATTTAAAAAATACAGAGATAGAAATAGTCAATCACCACACTAGATTAGCATTTGGTTTCTGGAGGTGGATAGCCTGTCTCGAAGATTCTTATGAGGATCGATCTTCTTTTTTAAAGGAGCAGATGTATTTTTTTTCTTGATCAGCACTGCAGAACAAGATAAAAAGCACCTGTTGTGAAGAAAATTTAAACAGCAATATACACAGTATTACACCACATAATTTATTAAATGCCTATACCGAATAAACTTTATATACAAGTTGTAAATACTATTTCCGATCACTTAAATCACCTCAAGATGTGGTTGAATAGTGAGTCTACAGACTTTCTTTCTCTGATGATACAGCTTTGAAAGACGTAATCGTCTCTTAAACGTATACAATCCAGCCTGAACTACAATGACTCACTAAATTCATTTAATTTACTAGCCAGTCCCATGCAGAAGAAAAGAGGTAAGATTTGATATGGAGGCAATGACGCCACCTTGGATAAAACAACCTAGAAACTACGAGAACTTTAATGCACATAGAAAATACGAAAAATAAAACCGTTTACATCGGAATCAGAAAGGATGGATGACATCAGCTGGGAGAAGCCTTTGAATAGTCATTTGGATATTGTGTCTCCTTTCGATAAGAACAAACGTTAGAATAGAGGCAAATAATTTCTACACAATGTTTGAGGCTCGCTAAGTTTGCATATTATCGCCTAACCAACTGTAATATAATCTTGGCCATCACCTACAAAAATAAAGCACTCAAAATGTTATAAGGAAACTGTTTAAGTGAGTTCAAATTGAAGTAGGACCTTGGCGGCCTGTTCGAATTTTTGGGCCTGCTACCAAAATATCTACATTTTGCATCCAGTTTACTGTTTACCAGCATACATTTATCACTTAAATATGAATTCTAACAGAATCATTTACTCTCGTAACTTTATTAATGATTTACGACCAAATGACTTTCATATTCCAAAGAAACCAAGAAGGAAACATCGTAGTGGTTGGCAGAGAGCTCTCAAACGTACACCAATACACTTAACTACGGTCCCCGTCATAATGAACTCAAACTGTCGCTCTCTGCCAAATAAGATAATGTACCTACAATCCCTGATGTCAACTGATACGTATCATAACACCGCCATAATCGCATTACAAGAAACGTGGTTGCATGAACTGTATGATGACAACCTTATCTCACTAAAGGACTTTATTTTATTTCGTCAAGACCGTCAATGTTGTAATAAGAAAAATGGTGGTGGCGTTGCAACTTTTATTCACTCCAAATGGTCTGTCTCAAATAACGTCTGCTTCACCTTCTCAAATGACTTCATTGACTGTATTACTGTCAAATGTCGCCCCAAACATATCCCCAAATATAAACAATTCTATATTACAAACATGTACATTTCTCCTAGTTGCTCTCCATCTGATCTATCTAATTTTGCTGATGAATTCACCATGTTTGCTGCTGCCAACTTCGACAACTCTCTATCCGTTATTACTGGAGACTTCAACACATCAGATTGCTCCTTTCTTGAAGCTCTTGGTCACACAAACATAGTCAAATTTCCCACTCGACTTGACAAAACACTCGACTCGTTTTTACTAATGACGAAGGAGTATATGAAACACGTAGACGTTCACCGATACATAACTCCGATCACTGCATTGTCCGCGTTTTGCCAAAAATATACAGCAAAACACATATTAAAATCTTCTCACACCTGTCTACGAAGCACAAGAAAGATGCTACACATCTGACAACTTACTCAATCTAAGATGCATGTTAAAAGATACCAACTGGGATCTATTCTATGAAAGTACATTAGATGACTCAATCACCAATATAATGGATTATCTTAAGTTCTGCCTCGACATATGCTGTCCCAAACAAACACTGTTCAAACGCCTCGACCGCTTCTCGTCTCCCCGTCTCAAACAACTTCGCAGGCAAAAAGAAATGTTATATAAATGCAAAGACAAGTTAGGACTTAAAAAGATTAATGCTCAAATCAAATCTGAAATCAAAAATCTTAATGCTATCTATAACCAAACACTTTTATCATGCAAATCTCCTAACAGCATGTGGAAACTTTTCAATGAAATTACTGGCAAAAGTAAGCGATGTAATGTTTTTCCCTCTTGTGATGTTAATGCTCTTAATCTGTCTTTTTTACGCTCTCCTTCTACTATAACCACTTCTAACGTTACCAATCTTGTAGCTGATAACTTCCAGGACTTCAATACTCTCGATGTTTTGAAATGTCTTAAAACTCTTAAGCCCTCACATAGTCTTGGCCCTGATAGCATACCTGCATATGTTCTAAAACAATGTGCAGATGCTTTATGTTTTCCTCTAACTAATATCCTAAATGCTTCTTTCTCCGAAAACGTTGTACCTGTTCCATGGAAAGACATTAAAATAGTCCCTGTCCCTAAACCTGGAAATAGCAAGAACGTAAAGTTCAGACCCATCGCCATCACTTCCCCGTTTCTAAAGCTCATGGAAAAACTAGTACTTCTTAAACTCGAACCCTCCCTTAAAAGCTTCGAAGACCCCAAACAATTTGCCTACAGACAGGGTAGGAGTACTTTAGACGCTGCAGCCGTCTTACACAACAGTATTATCTCATCATTAGACAAAGGTGCCAAATATGTCCGCTGCACGTTTCTTGACTTTACTTCTGCTTTCGACTCTGTACCTAGAAGTCTCTTGCTAAATAAGCTCTCCATGACACAAACCGAGTCCTGGGTCACTAACTGGTTGCATTCCTACTTTTCAAACAGAATGCAGTACACCGTATACAAAGGCCAATCCTCCTCTGCTGTGCTCACAGAAGCTGGTGTCCCCCAAGGTGCTGTACTCTCCCCACTTCTCTTTTCTTTCTTCCTACATGACCTACCGTCTTCAAATGACATTAACTTTGTCAAATATGCTGATGACCTAACTGTATCTTTACCTGTCAAATGTCAAAGTGACTGCTCTAAACTAAATGGCTTCTTATCGGAAATTAGCCAATGGTCCAAGGAAAACGGTCTAACCTTAAACCCCTCCAAATGCCAAACAGTTAATTTCACCCTTAGGCATAAATCTGACCTAAACAAACTGGTTAGCACTCACGAGGTGTGCAACATAGATGGCAGTGAAATAGAAACCAAGTCGGAAATTAAATACCTAGGCGTCACTTTATCTTCTGATCTTTCCTGGTCGTCTCATATCTTGACGATTTCCAAGAAAATATACCGTCTTACCTTCTACATCAAGAAGTTAAGACATTCTGGTGTAACCCAACCCTTACTCCTACAATTTGTTAACTCCCGTATTCTGCCTATTATTCTCTATTGCTCCCCCTTAGTCTTTCCTGGGCTATTGAAGAAAGACTATACCTTATTACGTAGGATGTTAAAGGTTGTCAGCAGGGTAAGCAGCTTGCCACTTAGCCAGCTAGTTAATATTCTGGTGGACAGGCATATGGACTCATGTGAAAAATGGGCGAAATCCATTTTATCTGACTCACAACACCCTCTACATTCACAACTCTCCCCATGTATCTCTTCAGGGAAAACAAGAAGCCTATATAGGAAACTATATGCCCGCACTAGTAAGTACAAAAACTCATCCATACCCTACCTAGCCCGTGTTCTGTGCGATAAAGAATGCATCAGGCATGAAACCTTTAACTTATTAAATAGTCAGTAGAACCAATGGATCTCGTCTTTCCAACTCACATCATTTATAGGTACAACGTTTTCTCGCTCTTCATTCTGTATTTATTTTTGTTATGTGCTGTTTTGTTTCTCTCTTCCTTGCAAACTCTACTTAAAACATTCTTGTTCGTTCTTTCACACTCTGTATATCTCGACCATTTTGCTATCGCTTACGCCAGTAAATATGCTAGTAGTATCTACTTCTCTAACACCTTCAAACACTTTAATTTTGGCTTTGCTACCGACATACTAATATGTTGTTGAGATAACTTTAATCTATGTAGAACTTTATTTATTGTTAATGTAAAAAACTGGATGCAATATTGTAGTAAAATGCTGAGAATTCCATTCTGTATCACAAGTACTGATTTGGAATAAAGCTTATGTTATGTTATGTTATGTTATGTTAAGTATCAGTGAAAATGAATACCAAACTGCCAACAAACTGGTGTGGAAACATATAGTCACAGATAACCTAAAGTAATGTAAACTATCCATTGTACTCCAATCAACTGTAGTTAGAAATATAGAATTTAAAAACTCAATACTCAAGCCAGCCAGATACATTTTTTAAAGATAGAGTTAATCATAATTTTATTTTTTATTTTTATTTTTGATTACAGCTTGATTCCACACCGTATTTTTGGTACAAGTATGGAATTTTCAGCGTGGATATCGGTAGCCCAAAATTCGCAGGCCGACAATAGATATTGGATGTGCGTCGATGTGGGCTCGAACTCCGGACCATGTGCGTGGTCGGCGAGAGTCCTAACCACTGTGCCACCGACGCACACAAGGGCGTTATTCAGTAGGACGTAGTCAGGTTAAACATACAAAATGTGAATAGACGACTTCGAATAAATTTTCATCGCAGAGCAAATAAGATAGTTCTCTCCTGAATAGATTCGTATGTGTCGCTCTCATAAAATAAATCACTCAATAAATAGCCAACTGTAATGATTTACAGCCAACTGACTAACTTGACTAAAATTGTAGCAACAAAATGAATAACTGTTTCTCACCTTATAAGCAAACAACCTATTATTTAGCCGGTATGCTGACGCAAGTGGAAATAGTTTGAACGTACTATGAGGCTACCACTGAGTGATATCACACTACAGGCCCTCAAATGCTGCATGAACATGACGTGATGGGTTCGGCTCCTCAGTGTGATGTGCAGGGGAACAAATAAAAGCTTGTGTATAGTGGTGAAGTCAGCTGGACATGGTGGTATAGAACTTAGCTCTGTGTACATATACCACAATATCAGCATAAATAGGAGAAATCAGAAATAAGCAACCTCCTTTGTTCACCTACCTGGGAAGCAACGTTTCAACTACAGGCGGACGGAACTGATGAGAATATCAAAGCGAGGATCCAAAAGGCAAAGTAAGCCTTGATTACTGTCAAGTGTTTGTGGAGATCAACAGCACTCAGCATGAAAAATCATACCCGGATTTTCAGCTCCAGTGTGAAGTCAGTGCTACTGACTATACAGATCAGAAACTTGGCGCGTCACGAAAGACACTTCGAACAAACTACACATCTTCATCAACAGCTAACTTCACTCGACACTACTCAAGATCAGACGGCTGGCCAGAAAAGTTCAGTAATAGGAAACTCTGAGAACGAGCCAACCAGGAACTGATTGTGCGAGAAATATGCAGGAAGAAATGGAGGTGGATTGGCTATACTCTGAGAAAAAAACATCAAGCGATATCACATGACAGGCTATTGCTCGAGTGGAACCTGAACGGGAAGCGGCGAGTTGGTCGTCAGTGTGAAGCTGACATGGAGGAGGAGGTCATGTCAAGAAGAGGTAAAAGCATATGGACGGAGTTGGAGCCAGGTAAAAACGTTGGAAGAGAACCGGAAGAAATGGAGACGTGAGATTGAAGCCCAAAGTTCCTCTAGGAATCAAAGGAAACAAACCATAATATATACCACTTAATCCTCATATCCCCCCTCGGAATCGTGGAATGAACAATATTAATAATGGAGGTTTCCAGACGTTAATTTGGAGCTAAAAGCTTGTCAAAATATGGCATCTTAAATTGTGATTCACCTCATGTCTTTGTAAACATAAAAAGCAGCAATCCAGAGTAATTAAATGTTAAAGTTTTACTCGAACACAATGAAAAGTTTGTTAGTGTTTATGCTATTTACGTAAAAACAATAAAATTATAAAAATGTATCATGCTGGATAGGTATATTGGTGGTTCAGCGGCAGAACACTCGCCAGCCTCTACTCATTCAGTCCGAAGTTCATTTCCCCTCCGAAGAACCCCCACATCACACTTCACCGGTTATAAACCGAGTAAAAAGATGAGTAGGTTGGCGAGTATGAAGCTAACCACTCGATACTGTAATAAAAGAACACCACCACTGCTATAGAAACTTCCAAGCTCAGACTAAAAGCCCTTTGTTCCACTGAGAACATAAAGGAATAAAATTCACGTGGATAATATTTTCATGCATAAATACTGCAGATGAATCAATAAAGGCATACACTGAGGAACCTTCAACTTTGCACCAATCGTGTATCACAGTACACATGATCATATCTGAGATTTATTCAAAACTGATACATTTTTTTTACATTGTAGGCATTCATCATAGACATTTACTTACAGGCGCGCACTTTTCTTTTGCACTCCACAAAATGAATTAATTTCAAGCTGTAATCATCTTTTTTTGGCTTCTTCTTTTTCCTCTTCAATTCCACTAATTTAATTAGAGTTTTTTATAACTGAAAGTGGATTAAAAGAAAAGTAAACTGAGAGTATATTTCAAGTGGAAATGTGTTGTATATTATCATTAAAAGACACGATTTTTCTGCTGCCTTGTTAAATGTATAGACAAACTGATAAGAATGACAAATGAAAATCTTACTGAACTGATAAATTACATAGATTGAAATGCTGCTACACAGTATGATGAAATGGATAGGAAATCTATACACTAGAAATGATTTTCATCTTATATACACATATCTGAAACTATAGGGTATTCACGAAGATATCTAAACGTACGACTTCATTACCAAGCCTAAATTAAATAACATTTTCACTGAAAGGCTCAAATGAAACTAATACTTTTAAATGTTTTTGAGTCATACTGAAGCAATATGGCTGATCTAGAGTTAGCCTAAACTTCCTGTATATCCTTCTGTATATTTCAATGATGTGCAAAATATATACAGCCTCATTGCCACCACTAAATAGCAGTTTCATCGATATCTTGAACCAGTAGGTAGTGGAAAGCATTAAATAACTTGAAAATAACCCACCAATTGTAAATTATACTGGCGCTGTTCTTAATGCTGTTTTAAGTTGTGAATTGCTACGAGGAAACCGACATGGCACAGTGGTTAAGACTCTCGCTGACCATGCACATGGTCCGAGGTTCTATTTCCTGCCGACGCACACCTCATATCTATGGTCGGCCTGCAAAATTTGGGCTACCGATATCCATGCTAAAAATTCCATACTTGTACCAAGAATACAGTGTGGAATCAAGCTGTAATGAAAAAGAATATTGACAGTTTCAGTGTTGTTGTGTTCTACAACCAATAATATGGGGCGGGGGTGGGGAGAAGAAGAATACAGCGAAGACAGGACTTTAATTGATCATAGAGAAGACAAAAGTGACGTAGATACACACTAACTAATGACAGTGGTAGAAACTTGAGCGAATTCACCTCTGTCACTTATCAAGGCAGTATCAGAAAAAGGGAAGGATATCTTCACTACTCTAAAATCAGTCTGGAAATCTACTGCAATCGATATGAAGTATAGAATTCGAATTTTCAGCGCCAATGTAAAATCAGTCAGAACTTCAAGGTGGCTCAGAAACTTGAAGTGTCAACAAAAGCATCTCAGACAGGCTTTAGGCTATTAACAAAAGCATGTCTCTTCACTCCACATTGAAGTTCATAATGTCTGAAAAAATAAGCAATGTAGAGCTGTAGTAACGAACCATCCAAGAACCTGTTTCCTAAAGAAATTAGTAGGAGAAAATGGAGATGTCCACTGAGTGACATCAAGCTCCAAACATGCCTTCAAGTGTAACCAAATATAAAATGATGAGTTGGGGATGTGGCCTATTGTGAAATGAAGCAGACTATCTGTAGAGGAGATAAAAGCTTGTAGACAACCATGAAGCCAGAATAGGATGAAATGAAGATGCGATGCTGAGGCTTTATGTTCCACAAGGGACCTTAGGGAATAATAATACTTCAATGTGTCCCGCTAGCTGAATGATTTATTCGCTAAGCCTTCATTGTCCTTCTGAAAAACATCTTCCGAGCCAACAGTAGTATGCAACAGAATTTTGGGATTTTTTATGGGTGAATTGATTTTTTCTCCTCTTGTGACCTTCAATAGGGTTGGCTGTTCCCGTATATTCCTTTATCATTCTATTCATTTATATTGATATTGATATTCTCGCTGACCTCATATTTGACCTTCTGACCATAGGAAACAGTTTCATTGAATCAGTTCTAATCAGTTCTCTATCCCAACGCCTACATAAATTCTTTTTGCTTGTTTGTGTTTCACGTGACTGAGATATTCACACTGTTATAGATGATTAACGTCCATAGATGCTTTCATGAATTGACATGAACAACTGTATGGTCGTGGATAGTATTTTCTGCAGTATCCGCTTTATTTTGAAAATAGCTTCCACAGTATCTTACATCTATGTTTTGATAGGTCATGATTGCTACAAAGTGTTTTGGCCATATTTAAAAAAAAAACTTTTGAACACAGATCCTTATGTGTACTCACACTACTGGTACCACCAGTGAAGATTCATCAATTCATCTGCTCTTGTGAAGCTGTACTCACCGTTCACTTTTCAAACGTCTCATCAAACATTTAGCTTCATGACGTTATAAGGGAAAAATAGATCCCCCTCACACTTCCATTCTGGAACATCCGATGGACTCCGGACAACAACAACAAAAACAACTTCATAGTCGTTCACTGAGTACGAATCAAACTTATTATAATCGCATAAGAGATGGCAATCCAGATATTATATCCTGAACTCTGCTTTCATAAGAATTGTATTCAATCACTAAACTTATAATAGACCTAATTTGACTTAACACCGGATATGTTATTTTTGTTAATCTTAATTTTCTAGTTCCTATTTACATTGTTTTTCCTCCTGACCCCACACTGATACATTTCTACTCCTTATTACGCTGA